ATATTATATTATATTTATATTATATTATATTTATTATATTATTATTATATTTATAATAAAATGTAGTATTATTATTTATAATATAATATATTATATTATTTTATATATTATACATTACATTTCATTATTTTATGTATTACATTATATTATGATATATATTTTATTACTTTATATATATTATTTTATATATTATATTACTTTATAAATATTGTTTTATGTATGACATCGTATTATTATTATATTATAACACTTTTTATATTATACTACTTTTTTTATATGGTATAATATAATATACCATACCATATAATATATATTATTTTATATTATATTATAAGATTTTATTATATTATATTATATTATATATTATATTGTATATTATATTGTAAATTATATTATATTGTATATTATATTATATTCTATATTATATTATAATATATATTATATTATAATATATATTATATTATATTATATTATATTATATATTATATTATATTATATTATATTGTATATTATATTATATTATATTATATTATATTATATTATATTATATTATATTATATTATATTATATTATATTATATTATATTATATTATTGTAATGTTTACGATTAGGTTTCGATCAAGACTGATTTTTATTTATTTTATTTTAACTTACAAGCTTACTCTTATACAAAGCTTATTCTATCTACATAAAAGCTTAAACTCTACAGCCCTCCTCCTAAGATTATAACTATAATAATTAAACACGATATACATAAATAAAAAAAAATATAAAATATAAATGTAAAGCATAATTGAAATTCATTTTAATTCACTTTAAAATTATACAATTATAATTATGAAATATTCAACAACAAATTATTACTCCGTATAAATTAAATTATATTCATGAATTATTCCTTATAATTAATCTTAGTTTTACGTTCTCGCAGACGCGAGCAACCACTACCTACATTTACATCCTCAGTCGCATACCCTTCCGTAGTAGCGACGGCTGACTCTACATTTGGACTTGATTCTTCAGCAGCACCGTTCAACTCCTTCGTAGTTAAGTCATTTTTTATAGCACTACCACTATAAGCCATCATTTGGTCGACGTGGCGCTTAATCACCCTATTAGTTCTTGATATTGTGCAACCATATGTTCGTCGACCTAAACGCTCCTTAATTACCGCTTCCTGCCATCCTACCTTATTTGGGTCTGAAAAATCTCGGATAAAGACCGGTGTGCCTTCCGTAAAAATAATATCTCTAGAACCCCCATGGTTTTGAATGTTACTAAGTTGTTTTTCTCTCACTCTGTCTTTCACTAAAGGTGGTTTTAATAAATCGAACCGCGTTTTCATTTCTCTACCTAACATAAGTTTAGCTGGAGACTCTCTTGTTGTACAATGCTTCATAGTACGATAATCAAATAGAAATCTCTTAAGCACTATGTCTAAACTTCCTTTTTCACCAGAGCTTAAACTTGCTTCAAGAGATTTTTTAAAAGTTTTAACAAAATTTTCGGCTTGCCCATTTGTAGCTGGAAACCCTGGAGGTGTAAGAATCTGTTTGATGCCATTATCCTTTAAAAATTGTTGGAATTCCCATGCTGTAAATTGGGTTCCATTATCACTTACTATGGCATCCACTAAACCATACCTACAAAATAGCTCTTCTAATTTCTCCACCGTGAATGCCGCTGTTATCTGCTTTGTTTTAAAAATTTCTACCCATTTGGAGTATGCATCAACTACGACTAAAAAGTAAACATTCTTGACTGGCCCGGCAAAATCAATGTGAATGCGCGACCATACTGAGCTAGGCATTTCCCACGGAATTAGTGGGCTTTTCTTTGGACTAGGCTGAACCTTTTTACATGGAATACATCTATCTATAAGATTTACTATATCCTTATCTATATTAGGCCACCAAACATACGACCTAGCCAAAGCTTTTGTCTTTACAATGCCTAAATGAGATGCATGTAACTCTTTTAAAACACGGTTTTTCAAAGTATAAGGTATTACACTTCTAAAACCCCATAATATACATCCGCACTCAATCGAAAGCTCTAAATTTTTAGTTTGAAAAGGCGAAAATATTTTGTCTTTTAACAAATGTAACTTCCCAGTTTCAATAGCGGCTTTTACTTTCGCTAAACAGGGGTCGCGAGCAGTCTCTTTTGCAATTACCTTAAAATCTAAATTTAGCTCATTATTTTTGGTTATAAAATTTATATAACTATTTTCCTCTGTATCTACAGAAGGAAGCAAATCTTGAGGTATACGCGAAATATTGTCTGTAAAATTTTCTGACCCCTTGACATACTCGATGGTATAATCAAATCCAGACAATGTCAAAGCCCATCGCTGAATACGAGCTGCTGCCATTACTGGTAGTCCCTTATTTTCACCAAAAATTGACAAAAGCGGCTTATGATCAGTTTGCAAAACAAACTTATTACCAAGCAGATAGAGTCGCAGTTTAGTTACTGCGAAAATTTTTAATAATTAAACACGATATACATAAATAAAAAAAATATAAAATATAAATGTAAAGCATAATTGAAATTCATTTTAATTCACTTTAAAATTATATAATTATAATTATGAAATATTCAACAACAAATTATTACTCCGTATAAATTAAATTATATTCATGAATTATTCCTTATAATTAATCTTAGTTTTACGTTCTCGCAGACGCGAGCAACCACTACCTACATCCCATCCTCGTCGCCAATGTAATGTTTACGATTAGGTTTCGATCAAGACTGATTTTTATTTATTTTATTTTAACTTACAAGCTTACTCTTATACAAAGCTTATTCTATCTACATAAAAGCTTAAACTCTACA